TGCCTAATGTAACTGAGTAAGTGCAACCTTTTATAGTCTTTGGTTTCCTTTAGTGTCAGCTTAATTACTGACTCAGTTCTTTCCTTCAATCTTATACGAGCAGAACATTTCAGCGAAGCATCTTACTAACCACCTGGATCAGATATATTTTGTGGTTAAGACTACTATCTAACGTAATATTCCATCGACTACATTCAACAAGTTTTACTATTATTGAGGCCTTTCTATAAGAGTAACGCGTGATTATTTCTTCCTACTCATTTCAATAGTGGAAGAGATTCAGTTTGAATGAACCACAGTGCTAGAATTTCATGTGCCTCAAAGGACCTTATAAGCTCTCTCTTTTTTATACAACACCATCAGTAGGAATATATATATATATATATATTTGTTTCAACTTTGGCACGGCCTGGTGGTTAGGGTGCTCGACTCACAATCTACATGTCGCGGGTTCGAATCCCCGTCGCCGAACATGCTCGCCCTTTCAGCCGTGGGAGCGTTATAATGTAACGGTCAAGTCCCAATTCGTTGGTAAAATATCACCTCAAAAGTTGATCAGTCGGTGGTATTTACTTTCCTTTCACAGCTAAATTAGGAATGGCTACCTGGAGAGGGAATAGGCGCCAATCATGGATGATGGATCAGCATCTGAGGTACCTCAACGGTTTGAAGAGGCCTCGAGACAAAAAAAGAAAACAACACTTCACGCAAATCTTGTGTTACTTGTCCTTCATTCGTATTCTTCTAGCTCTCAGCTATACGTCTACACTCTTATGTACAAAAGGCTCTGATGTAACTCATGTAAAACGTGATGACAATATAATATTTCATTGTTTTAGCATGTTTTTCTTCTTGTTATTTATGGAAAAATAATATCTGTGTATTGTGAAACCCACAAGCAAAGGAAGTCCTTTATTATTTCAATTTTACCTATCTTTTAACCCAAAATAACCTGTCTTTCAACCCAAAATAACCTGCTTCGAAAGTGCTCTTAGGCATTAACTTTACATTTGGTAATATTCGGCTCATTTCTTCATCGGCAACAGTTTTTCCCACACCTTAAAGAGTTTTTTATTCTATGGTCAAATCTATGTTGAACAACAATTCATTATTTACTTATTCGTAACGTCTTTTATTCCTCTCAAATGAACACACACACACACAAAAATATTAAGAAAATACATAAAACACCTAACAATCTTTGCTAATTCATTTCGGGATATGATATTCTAATAATCTGATTCTAGAAGTTAAACAATTATGTACTATCCTGCATGGAATTAATCTGAAATATTCGAATAATAATATTATTACATTAAAAACATACGTCTGCAGTATTATCGAATACATTAACTTATGCAATTGTAGTTAAATATTGTAGTAAAAAATATTTACGAGTGTCCAAACAGAAGTACTGTTTTTCTCATAAAATTCAATTATAGCCTTCTTTTTCTTCCAGTTTTATACTTTCTTTGTCACTTATTTTTTCTGATGTCCCCATTTCTTGTACGAGCTCAATGGTTTTTAATTCTAATTTGAGTATGAATTTCATAGTTTTGTCGCTTTCTGTTTGTTAAAGTACTCTGAACCAATCTCAAATCCACTATTGCTCGAACATTAACTTCAGTAAAACTTCTGTATTATTTATATAAATATTCTTTCGTAGATGAAGTCTCGTCAACTATTAATTTTATGTAAAAAATTAAGTATTTCAAAGATCAGTTACATAATAACTAGTTGTCTCACTATTTTACATTTTCTTTAAATACTTATATTTTAGCACATTTCATGTAGGTTCGATAGAAAATATATTCATAATTTAAAAAAAAAGTATTCACAACTTTTCTATTCATCTGACAAGCCTTTATAATGTTGAAAAAAAAACACATAAGAAATTCAGTGTACCACACAATATACAGATGTGTTTTTATTCTTTTAACCACGAACTTTCGTACGTCCTTCTTAACCTGTCTCTAAAAATACTCCACAATTATTGCGGGCATTCTAGTTAAACTTGGTTCGTGCTACTAGAACGTTTTTCCTAACGTCAGTTTACGCTTCAAGACACAGAAGAATAGCTCATCTTTTTTTTTTTAAATCAAGAGTGAGATATATTGTGAGTCTTAATTCTGCGCACGCCTTTGTAGTATGATAATAAGGACACTCAAATCAAGAAAACGCTTTTAACGCCTTCATCATATTTTAAATAGAACTTACCCTTTTAAGATCAACTGAGAGGGATAAAATTTAGTTTAACAACGAAATATATACCCATCTATATCTATTAAAGAGTTTTTAAGAGTTTTTTTTTATGTACGTCTTGTATAGGTGTATCAGTGTGTGACGTTCAGTGCAGGTTTTTCGGTTGTAGTTTTCTCGACGTTTTGTGACGGGTTTTGTTGACGTGAACATTTAATTCTGCCGAATAAATGTGCACGTGTTACAAAATTAACGAGGAATAAACTCATTATGCTATTATACGTATACAAGACGTCTAATGCACGTGTTTCATAAAACGTATAAATTGTACGACTCAAAGAAACCCATAAGTGTTTACTTTTTTCTAATTAACCAAATATAGCCTTTATTCACACAAACGTATTTCGTTACATGACTATCAGTATACTACGTGGTGGTCCAAAAATTAGTTACCTCACTGCAGTATACTAATTATTGTTTCATTTGTTTGAAATTAATTGATGAGTACAAGTGAATTGTAAGTAACCGCACAACTGAGGAAGAACCAACAAGTTTTGGCGCAAATCAAATGTTATCAACACAAAAGAGATTTGACTATATATGATAGCAACGAACTGTTGGAACTCCCTGTATTTGTAAAGCTAGAATGCTGTGCTTATAAGATCGTTAATGAACAAGTACTGTGGTTTTGAGCTAGGTACTGTTGAACTGATCCATTTATTATATAGGTCAGATCCAGTTATTCTGTTGTACCTACAGGCCCGTCTATCAAATACGAATGAAATGTTGTTGATGTATTACAAATTTTATGGTCCTGATCATAGTATTTTAGCTTTGTTATAGGTACTATATTTGATTGAGATACTGTAGTTCTGATTATGGCACTGTACGTTTTTCAATATAGTATAGTTTTGATTCAAGTATTGTAGTTTTATGCCAATTATCGTAAATCTGAATTAGATACTGTAGTTCTGGTTCAGTTCTTGTAGTTTGGTCTAGCCAGTTTTGATTTCCCTGGTGTAGGTGTGATCTGTTTCAGTTCTTGTAAATTGATCTGGCTGGTTTAGTTTTGATTTCGCTGGTGTAGGTCTAACCTCAATATTATTGCTAAGATCTATAGTTAATAAATATACTATACTTCTTTCTCAAAACTTTAGTTCTCATAAAAATACTGTAGCATTAAATACGATTTTCTAATTCAGTTTGTGTTTCATTTGTCTTATTTACATTATTTTTATTCAGAAATTACATATTTGATTCAGATGCTATAGATGTAACCGAAATAAAGTGATTCTGGTCCAGTTACTGTATGGGCTGGTATGGGTACTCGGGTTAGGTATAAATTTAATCCATGAGGTTACTGTAATTATGGCCCAATTTACTAAATGTTCATGTTTTTTAGTTCTGGTTCAATTCTTATAGACACGAGCTAGATATTATGGTTCTTGTGTAAGGCAGTTACTGTAGGCTTGAATTATACACGCTGTAGTTTAGGGTCAATTGGTGTAAATCTAACCTTAGTACTATTAATATGACCAAGATAATACAGGTTTAATCGTGGCAGCATAATTATAATTGTAATCCGAATAATGTAGTTATAATCCTTATTTCTGGTCTTTGTGTTGTAAGTCTGATCACATATTTATAAATCTGACCTGAATGCTTTAGTTGTAATCCAGATTTTGCATTTCTTAATTTTGTTGTAGAATTTGATTCAGATACTGTTGCTTTAATTCAGGTGTCATAGATCTGAGCTATATACTATAGGTTCAATCCAAATGATCCAGATACTGCAGGTTTGGTTTAATTAAGTTAGGTACAGTGGATATAATACAGGTACTGTATGTCTGATTTAAGTACATTGGATATGATCCAGGTACTGCATGTGTCCGATTTAAGTATAGTTGATATGATCCACGTACTGAACGTGTCTGCTTTAAATATAGTGAATATGATCCAGGTACTATAGGTGCTTAAGTTTAGTCTATATACTACATGTAGTTGGCTGATTCGGGCATTCTAATATACCATTACATTACATAAAATAGTTCAGTTTCAGGTATATCTGTATAATTACAAGTTGATTCATGTACCGTAATTCAGATCCAGCGGATATATATTCTTCTACATTTCGTTCTGTTTAGGCTACCATGCAACACCTTTGTGATTTTTACGTTGAATAAGTTTCCTCGATCAATATCATATTTATACAACAAGTAATTAGTTAGTTTAATTATTTAAGAGGAGAAATTAAAACTGTTTCTTATTATTGAATTCTTATTTTCCAGGTTGTTAGCTTATTACGTAAGGTAGCTAGCATTGTCTGTTATAAACGTTAATATACGGTAAGAAATAAAATAAGTGTACAGTTTCTTGCCTTTACATTCTATGATCATTGTTGTAGAATTCTTGGAAGTTCGTTCAGTGTTTGTACAATTGTACAGGCTGAAATGATTGCATGACTGGTTATCCAGTTGTATGAAGAATACAGAATTTGTTAGCTTAGCTGCAGTCTAATTGGACGCCGCGAGTACTAAACTTTACGTTTATATTATCTATTTTTATGGTCTTCAGAACTGACTGTTGCCCACGGGTTACGTACTGTTTTATATACTGACGCTGCTATGTGATGTAGTAAAAGACCGATTAACATGGTCGGAAAACTTGTTTCAGCGAATGTGTTTGATATATATTCGTAATGCTTGTTTTTAAATGGTTTAGAGCGTGTTTGATTTTTCTACAATCGACAGTAAAGTTGAAAAGCTAAGTATTGTTAACATCGCTTTTTGTCTTATTTTTAGAATTCACAAGACATCAGCAGCACACATCATTCTCCATATCTCCCACTTATCAATCTTCTCCTTATCTAAACTGTTTACCATCCGACCTGACGACGAAGCGAAACACGACCGAAAACCAATTGTCCGATGAGCTTCGGCCTCGTGTGCTAACCACGAGCACGGACCTGAAAAGTAGGGTTAGCCCGAGCATGGGTGTTACTGAGAAGTCGGAAAGCAGTTGTATCAGCGAAGAAGCTAGCACCGTGGAAGGCTCAACAATCGAAACCCCGCTTTCAGTAACGAGGCTGGTGGAGAAGTCGTCACCCTTGTCGGCTCCGACAGGTAGCCCTACTCTGGAAAAGAAGATCGGCTCTACAGCGGTAGAGTTGGCACCATCATCATCTGGTGATCCAGATAATTCTTACTATCAAGACTCAGTTGAACTTGGAGATAAATGTGAACAGACAGGAGGATCAGAAATGGTAGAATGTGAAGAATTCCCTAAGCGTAAACAACGACGATATCGTACTACCTTTACCAGCTTTCAACTGGAGGAACTGGAAAAGGCTTTTGCACGCACCCATTATCCTGATGTCTTTACAAGGTAAATCTCCAGTCATTAGCAATACGATTACAGCCAAAACTAATAAAGCACTTACAAAATCTAAACTAATCAGAATAGCGCAGAAACTTTGCAGGAAACTCAAATAACTTTTAAATGCCTTTCACACCAACGCTTTCGGATATGAACACTTGCTCTGCTAGAGTTGATAGTGCAAGGTCAGAGATGCTAATTAAGAAACTTAATTTGGCAACTTAGATGTAATGTTTATGGAGAAGATATTTATATACACGTATGTCAGAGCACCTCAGCGTACTATATAAATTTGGAAAAACAAAAAGTTTGGTTTGTTTTGAATTTCGCGCAAAGCTACACGAGGGCTGTCTGAGCTAGCCGTCCCTAATTTAGCACTGAAAGACTAGAGGGAAGGCAGCTAGTCATCATCACCCACCGTCAACTCTTGGACTACTCTTTTACCAATGATTGACCTTCACATTATAACGCCCCCACGGTTGAAAGGGCGAGCATGTTTGGTGGAACGGGGATTTGAACCCGCGACCCTCAAATTGAGAGTCAAGCGCCCAAACCACCTGGCCTCATCCCTTAAAAATGCAAAATTGTAAACTTAGAAAAACAGAGAGAGGCATTACTTATCAAAGAAAAATCCTAAGGCAATTATTAAAGAATTTGCACTTTCATTATAAATAAATGAGGATAAATGATAAATTTATTTTCATCTATATAAATAGATAGGTTTATACTTTTTTAGTCAACTTTTACCTCTTTCCTCTTTTTATTTTTCAGTCATTATGTTGTTTATTTTCGCACCCCTAACCTTTTGACAAGTTTACCGAAATATTTAATGTTTTATTTTCAGAACTGTATATTGTTTATTTAATGACATATTATTTATTTAAATTATTTGACGTCATCACCCCCTTCACACGCACATTTGAAACAAGAACTGACTTGAGCAAGCAAATGTTTTTTGTTTTGTTTTTTCTTGGAACCATATTCAACAGTTGCACTAAAGTTTTTACACAGTCTCTTGATAAAGATATATAACCGAAACGTTGAGCATTCAAATAAAACATTCTGGAGTTAAAAAGGTCATAATACCTCTTTGTTTCAGTTACATAATTATTGAAGCTTATTCTGCTGAAAATAAAAACACAGTCCACTAGAGTTTTCGTCTAGTCTACTCCTTATAACATTAACTATATAAAGTTACAGAACCTGATAACTGCAGTTATATTGAATTTACAGTATAGGATGAAGCTGGGGACTTCTCATTATTTCAAAGTCTATACTTTATATTTATTGAAACACATTATCTTACGATTGACTTTTGATGTAATAGAGATACGATCTAAATTTTTGAGATCATTATTGGAAATTACCTTTATGTATCAGTGAAACGTTCGTCTACAGTAAACTTAAAAACCGCCTGTTTACATTTCAGCCTAACACTTTTGCATGCGTTTGATTAAAAACAGCTCTTAAGAACGTTTGTACACAATAATTTCCTATTAAGAACTTTCTAAAATTAATAAGCATAATCTTATGTGAAAAATACATTAAATATATTCACATTAGTGTCATTTGTTTCAAGTTGAGGCAGTTAGTTTATTAGAAGCAACATGATGATATGATTTTTTACCAACATGAACTTGTAAAGCCACGTCTCTAGGAATGAACTTTACATGTTAATTCTTTACACGTGCGTACCTTATTATATATATATATATATATATATATACGAAGAGTATACTTAGTAGTAAAGTATTATTTACAAGAGTAGACTATTAATTCGGTTTACTATTTTAACTTTTTAAAATACTAGTAACGAACGGTAGTAA